CTAGTCAGATCCTCTGATTATTGGAGGAGGTAGAGTGGAGGGTTGTCCTTGTCACCGCAGATGTCACATCCTTCTACTTGATCATTCCACAGCAGAAAGGGGGCATCCACCTCATATTAACAAATAACTACTTTCATTATATGGATTATTTTTATTTACAAACCCTTGGAACAGCGATGGGGACTAGATTCGCACCCAGCTATGCAAATTTATTCATGTCCCATTGGGAAGAGTCCTTTATATATGGTGATCATAGCTGGGTGCAGAATCTGGTCACCTATCACAGTTACATTGATGATTTATTTTGGATTTGGAGAGGCTCTAGAGAGGAACTTGTTTAATTGTTGGCATATCTTAATTCTAACTCTTGGGGTGTTAGGCTCACCATGGACCATAGTGACAGCCAGGTTAATTATTTGGACCTACGGATTTTTATTTCTAACAGTAAGATCTGCACCGAAACCTTCTTCAAGAAGGTGAATGTTAATAGTTTTATTTTTTATGACAGCTGTCACTATGGTCCCTGGTTGGATAACATTCCCAAGGGACAAATGATGAGGATCAAGAGAAATTGTACCAATATAGATTCCTATGAAACCCAAGTATACAAACTAATAAATAACTTTAGAGCTAAACATTATCCAAAAACAATATTGGATAAAGCATATAAAGAAACAAAGATCATAGACAGGAAAGAACTTTTAAGGAACGATAAAACGTGGAACAAAGGTAGAGAGAACAAGACTAATTTGGTCCCACTTATTTTCGACTACTGATGAAAAAGTAAAGAATTGAAGAAGATTGTGAACAAATATTGGTTTATTCTACAGGAGGATCCTCTTTTAAACCAGATAGTCCCTAAAAAGGCAAGGATTATATACAGAGGGACACCTAGCATTAAAAATCTTGTTAGAAGCAGTTTTAAACAAGAGAATCAGATTAGAACTTTTCTAAATCAAGATATAGGGTTTTTTCAATGTGGCTACTGCCTAGCGTGCAGAACTACAGAAGCCTCTAAATGTGTGAAAAGAGAACTAATGGGTGGGAACACAAAACAGACATATCAAGTCAAACAGTTAATAACTTGCCATACCACCAATTGTCCTCACTTGTCCATGTAATATGCATTATGTAGGGAAAACCACCAGACAGATACATATCCACATTAAGGAACATTTATGTAATATTAAAAGGGGCTTCAAGGAGCACACTTTATCCTCACATTTTATACATAAACATCAAGGAGACGCCACAAAACTGCAGTTTATTGGGATTGAAAGAGTCAATAGGAATTGGAGGGGGGAAGATCTGGATAATAAATTGGCAAAACAAGAGATGAGATGGGTGTTTAAGTTGAAGTCGCTATTCCCTAAAGGTTTAAACTGGGATTTTGAGATCTGCCATATTTTATAATTGACGATTGACTCCTGAAGTTTATGTCCCCTTATTATGATGTCTAATATTCTCTCTTTCTTTTTTCCCTAGAAGAAGAGTTGTTAGTACTTGTATGCATGACCTCCTTTTTACAGCACAGCTAGATATGTATATAGTGTTCGCTATTTAGAAGCTGGGCTTTAAACATTATGTATCCTATTTAAATGTATCCATTACTGCTATTTTAAGAGATATATTCCTTTATATTTTGTCTCTAGTAAGAGCATTATATCATGAGAAGATAGAGTATGGAATGTGATTCTATTTGTATGTATACATTTCCTATTGTTCTCTCCATTATTTGGATTCTATCAGGATTTCCCTTATTGATCTGAATCAATAAAATTCCACATCTACTATCCTTTCAGGACAAACATAGACCTTTATATTATATTGGGTTGCTGCACCATATGTAATAATAAGGTGCGATATTATGGAGGTAAATATCCCTTTAAATTTTTTATTTGGATTCAGCGATACCCATTTTCCAATTATTTTCTACCTTTATAATCAATTTTTTTAGTTGGTCTTTTTACCTCTGGAACTTTAAGTGGAGTCTCTGCTTACATAAACTGTATGCTGAATTTATCCTGAGTTTTACTATATAATTCTCCACTTTACATGTATCAATAGGGGTTCAACACAAAGGCAACCTGATATATTCTGTTTGTTTGATTTAGTAGTTATGTGAAATTGCAGGTTGGACACTAGCCCCCAATTAAGTATTGGTTGCCTGATTAAACATATATATGCAAAGGAAGGTGGGACATTGGATTTAGATTCACATTCTCACAAAGGAAGAATGAAACCAGTCTTTACGAGCAAACCACGCTCCCAGACCAATGAAATAACAGAGAGGGAGGAGTGAGACACTTAAAAGAAAGGGTTGGATGTCCATGATGTTGTCAGAGGAAGCCTGTGAAGGCGGGCGAAATGCGTCACATACACGTCACGAGAGTCCGGAAGTGATCACGTGATCAGGACAGACGAAACCAGGAAGTGACTTTCTGGTTGCTGTTTTACATGCCTTTATGTGGGTAGCTATGTCAGCATAACCCACCACTCGCAAAGTAAGAGTTTTTAACCATTTTTTTTTTTAAATAAATTGTATTTGATACTATTCGATTGGAGGTTCTGCTTCTCTCTGTCCTATATTGCACAGTACTACCAGTTTCCAGTGAACACACAACTTGGAGTTCTATCAGTGTGGGAATCTTCCCTCTCAAGTGAAGCACTGCAAACCCAGAGCCAGGGGTGATAGGGCTCTGGTTAATATCAGTTTAGCATGTTTTTTTTGGTAACTGTCTGTATTCTGTGTATACTACAGTATCACTGGGATTGAGTGCTGCCATACTTTATGTGTTATATGCTATAGCACTAACACACTGTTGGTCTTTTTTGTGGGAGTTTTAGCCTGAGTACAAATTTGACAAGCCATAACGTACTCTTTGACGTCCTTCCTAACAGAAGGCACCAGAACTGTCTTGTTATGTTATCATATGTATTTGTGATGCCTGGGTGTCCTGCTCTTTTGGACCTATGACTCTTTTCCTGTCCCTTCCCTGTACAAACAATAAACCTATAGGTGTTGCTTGACTTTGATATCTCTTCACTTTATCTAGAAAGAGGGAAGAGATAACCAAGTGTGTAGCTGCAATAATGTTGGCAAAAGGGACTATGGGTTCTGGAGGGGAGAGGTTGACTGCCAGTGGTTCGTGTTGCTTGCATATAACATTGCAGTATCCAAGTCTGTATGTTATGGTATACTGGAAGCCAGGGCCAGATTAAGAGCCCAGTGGGCCTGGTGCTGACAATTATGATGGGCCTAATTATAGAATCTTATCGACAAAAAAAACTAAAACAGTCATACCTCCCAAGTATCATGTATCTGATGGAGATGGTGTTGGAGGGAAACTCAAAGGATGCAGCTATAAGAATACTCATACGCTATGCTACGAGGGACATTAGCTGGGAGACATGGGGACACTGGGAGACATGGACACACAGTGTCCCCTAGTGTCTCAGTGTCCCCTAGTTTCCCTGCTGCCTTCCCACCCCCCATCCTTCACTTCCCTGAGCTGTTGTCTGTCTGCAGACTGGATGCTTTCATGTTTCAAGAAAATCCATACCCCCTAACCACAGTGTCCAGTGAAGCAGGAAGTCAATGGGCGGGGTAAAAGGGTGGGCCACTGATGCGAATCACGTGACCAGAACTGCCAAAAGGGGTGAGCATGCCCAAAAAGGGGGCATGTATGTCCAAAGAATTGGACACCCAGTCCCCTAGTCTTCCAGTGTCTCGGTGTCCTCATTTCTCCCCGTGTCCCAATGTCTCAGTGTTTCCCTTGTCACTAGGATACTAGGGGACACTGAGAGACATGTGGACACTGAGAGGCATGGGGACACTGAGAGGCATGGGGACACTGGCACACACTTGGGGACACTAAGAGGCATGGGGACACTGGCACACACTTGGGGATATTGAGAGGCATGGGGACACTGAGAGGCATGGGGACACTGGCAAACACTTGGGGACACTGAGAGGCATGGGGACACTGGCACACACTTGGACACTGGCTGGGAGACATATGGACACTGGGAGAGATGGAGACATTGAGACACTAGGGACACTGGCTGGAAGATATAGGGACACTGGGAGACATGGGGACACTGAGACACTAGGGACACTGGCTGGAAGATATAGGGACACTGGTAGACATGGGGACACTGAGACACTAGGCACACTGGGAGACATGTGGACACTCGGAGACATATATTTGGGGACAATGAGACTCTAGGGACACTGAGAGACATGGGGACACAGTCACTGGGGGACTAGGGGACACTGGGAGCCGCAGGGACACTGAGACACGAGGGACATTAGCTGGGAGACATGGGGACACTGGGAGACATGGAGACACTGTGTTCCTAGTGTCTCCCAATGTCCCTATGTCTCACAGTGTCCCCTAGTGTCTCAGTGTCCCCTAGTTTCCCTGCTGCCTTCCCCCCCCCCATCCTTCACTTCCCTGAGCTGTTGTCTGTCTGCAGACTGGGCGCTGCTGTCTGAACTCCCCTGCGGATCAGTGAGTAGAGAGATGCTGGGAGGGATATGCTGTAACTTCCTCTCTCCACACACAGTGACCCCTACTGGCTGGTGCTGGTATTGCAGAGTAATCTCCATTTATACTGAGAGAAATATCTGCTTTTGTAATGCCGGTATTACTGCAATACCGGCACGGCCAGGCAGCCTCAAATACCGGCTGTGCTGGTAAAATACCAGTCAGGTGGCAAACCCAAGAGTGGTGTGTGTAAAAAAACAAAACAAAAAAAACACAGACCTTTTTTTTTTTTTTAATGGGCCTATTCCATGATACTGGAGCTGCAGCTCCATCAGCCCCTATGTTAATCCGGCCCTGCTGGAAGCGAGACAGAAATAAACACCACCAAGCTGTCAGGGTCATCAGCGTGCTATGCACTAATTATGAGTATTTGGGTCTGGCTGTGTTTGAACCTGAACCTGGGTTTCCTGCATCCCAGTCAGGCACCTTACCCTTGACAGGTGGTTCCTGGGTTCTTGTTGTCTGAGTTTCTACGTCTGGACTTGCACACCTGTTCCTGATTGTGCTGATATTCACCTATATAAACCCTGCCCTGTTGTATACTCGTTGTCAGATCGTTTGTTCCTGTTGGTTCCTGTTTGCTGTTATTCTGACTCCTGTTTTTTGATCCTCTGCTCATCCTTCATATCTGCCTGTCTGCTGCCTGTCCTGACCTTTTGGTTCCGTCCCTGACTACGCTTTTGGATATCCCTTGTCTGTACCTCGCTCTTGGAAGCACTGGTTGTTATCAGTCCCAGTGTGGGTTTTTCTCTGAGAAAGCATTGCACCAACATCTGACTCAGACGCGTCGACTTTGACAATAAAAGGTAGTGACGGGTCAGGGTGGCGCAAAACAGGGGCTGATGTAAACGCTTCATTAAGTGTCTCAAAAGCCTCAAGAGCCTCAGAACTCCAAACACGGGGATTAACCCCTTTTTTGGTCATCTTGATTATTGGGGCTAGTACAGAGGATAAATTATTTATGAATTTTCTGTAGTAGTTAGCGAAACCCACAAACCTTTGTATGACCTTAAGTCCCTGTGGAAGCGGACAAGTTTTGATGGCTTCCAATTTCTTAGGGTCCATACTGAAACCCTTCTCAGAAATTATGTACTCCAAGAACTGCACAGAGGTCTGATCGATGAGGCACTTCTCTAGCTTGCAATACAGACCATTTTCTAGAAGTTTCTTTAGTACTGATCTGACATGTTTATGGTGGGTGTCTAGATCAGGGGAGTTCACCAATATGCCGTCTAGATACACTACAGCACATACGTGCATGTAATCTCAGATGACATCATTAATAAAGTCCTGAAAGACAACAGGGGCGTTACACAGGCCGAAGGGTATCACTAAATATTTGTAGTGGCCGCTCCAAGTGTTAAAAGCGGTTTTCCACTCGCCTTGTTCTCTTATTCTGACCAGGTTATACCACTTGGAACCTTTTAAGTGGTCAAAAAGCACTGCGATAAACGGAATAGGATACACATTCCACACCATGATCTTGTTCAGACCCCTATAGCCCATACACCGTCTTTCTTCAATACGAAGAAGAAACCAGCACCTGCTGAAGATGAGGATCACCTGATAAACCCTTTCTTCAGGGACTTCTCAATATATTCCTCTATAATCTTGTTTTCATGCTCAGAGAGGTGGCATAGTCCCTAGCAGAAGATCAATCACACAATCATAAGGGCTATGAGAGGGGAGTTTCTCAGCCTCTCTTTTCTCGAAGACCTGGGCTAGATCAGCGTACGGAGGAGAAACCGATGTAGAGAGAGGAGGGGCCGAGGGCAGGTTGAGAGAACAAATGGGATTCACAGGTATAAGACACTGAGTAAGTCAGGAAGAACCCCAGGACAATATGACCAGAGTGACCCAATCTATAACGGGGTTATGTTTTATCAACCACGGGAATCCAAGGACTATGGGACATGAAGGGGAACACAGCATGTGAAGGGTAATACTTTCCCGGTGTAGGACCCCTATGGTGAGTTGTACTTCCTGGGTTTCGTGAGTCACCTTAGGGTTCATCAGTGGCTTGCCATCAAGTGCTTCCACGGCTAGAGGTGAGGCCTTGCGTAGCAAGGTAATGGTATGGGACAAGTTGCCAGCTACACCTGAGTCCAGTAGGGCCTTGGTGTCAATGGCCTCACCGTTGATGGTGAGGGTAACTGTGAGAAGCAGTCTAGAGTTTTTGTCATGAGGGGATAACGTCATAACACCTAAGTCCAACCCCTCCTCTGGTCTTAGGTTCTGGCGTTTTCCTGGAGGTCAGGACATGTTGTCCTTACATGCCCCTTTTTGCCACAGTAGAGGCATAGACTCTCGCTCTTTCTGCATTGCTTCTCCTTTTCAGGTAGCTTAGTGGTACCTATTTGCATAGGTTCTGGTGGTGAACTACAAGGAGGCAAAGCAGGTAGAGAAGAGGGCAAGACAGGCAAGGGGTGAACATGCATCCAGCTATAAGACTGTCGCTGAGAGCATCTGTCTCGAATGCGATTATCTATAATAATGCAGTAGTCGATGAGAGCACCTAATGCTGTGGGTACATCTCTGGATGCTATCTCATTGAGTAGGTAATTGGCTAACCCTGCCTGAAAAGCTGTTACCAAAGAATCGTTGTTTAATGCCACTTCCGCCATTAGAGTATGGAATTCTATTGCGTAGTCTACCACTGTTCTGGAGCCTTGGTTGATGCGTAATAAGACTCTCCCAGAGGAAGCTATCCTACCAGGCATGTCAAACCTTCTCCGAAAGGATAATAGGAAATCGGTGTAGGTGATGTTGGGACCTGATTCCCATATCGGGTTAGCCCAGACCAAGGCCCTGCCAGAGAGATGGTTAATGACAAATGTTCAGCCTGTCAGTAGGAAAGGAGTGTGGGCTCATAACCATGTGTATATCGATCTGGTTCAAAAACCCACAACAAAGGGCAGGATCACCACTATACCTTTGGGGTGGTGTCATGCGTACGGAATGATGGGAACCTACCTGTTCGGGTATGTGAACAGGGACCAGTGGAGCAGTATCGGCTTGTTGTGCCCCCGGTTGGATGTGAGCGGTGCGCTACAGAATAGTCTGTAACGCCTGGGCGAACTGATCCAAACGGTGGTCTTGCTCCTCCAGCTTGGAATTATGAGCAGCTAACTGCTGCGAGATGTCTGCTTCCATTTCTATTTGGCTCTGTTGTAATACGTTCACTAGGGAACCCTAACACGCAGACAGGACAGAGTAGAAAAAATTGCAATACCGATCTTTAGAATGGTCAGATTATGCAAAGAGGGATAGTCAAAACACGAGCTGAGATCAAGGGAAACAGAGAGACTGAATGACGAGAGACAAGGCCAAATATCAGTAACCAGGAAATCCAAATAACAAGTGCAACGCTCAATGGCACACCAAAGACCACAACAGGGCACTGAGGCAAGGGAGGGGTTAGCTTATATAGGTCATCAGTATGTGCCGGGTCACATGACCAGGTGCAGCACACATATAAGGAAGCTGCTCTGGAGCATGCAGCGTCAGAGACACTGCCAGTCTGGAGACAGGGACCAGATGACGCCACTCGCTGTGATGAGGTAAACAAGGTCACCGCAAGCGGGGACCTGGAAGATCTTCCATTTGGCCATACTTTAAGGGTTGTATTTGTGAAAAGTGTCTGCGCATTTGAATGTAAGAATGTTTTTGTATAGAGTATGTATGTGCATGTAGGTATGTATTTGTATGTATTTCTTCATTATTATAAGTTCTTTCCTACATTTTCTATTCTTTTTATTCTTTTCATTATTTTCTTCATTTTTAAAATGTTATATTGTTTTCATTTTAGCATATTTTTTATATTATTTAAAAAAAAAGAATTTGAATACAATATAACATTTATCAATTTTATTGGGTCACTATATTTAATGTCTTGCAATTTCAGTTATTCATTAACTTCCATGATTAGCTTCCTTCATTAAGATATACTGGGTAGAGATACTTTGGCAGGTCATTTATAGTTATCTTTATGCATTGTACAATGATTGAATGTAATGCGTTCCCTAGATAGGTGGCACGTTTCTGTTACTTTTATATATGTTTTGTCTTAAATGGATCTCATGAAAATGTATACACATTTGAAATGAGGGTATTTGAGCCTTACTCTAATGTTTTTACACACTTTGTATACATTTTTTGCACTGGCTGGCTGGTGACAATGAGCTTCATGGCATCTTTCTCCCACTTAAAGATCGGCTGATTTGATGTATTCTTAAACTTTACAGCACTTTTTTTCAACTGCTCTGTTTACTTGTGATTTCTAAGTGTTAATTTTATCCCAATTACTTCAATGATTGGAGTTATTGTCTTTTTCACTGCCACTGGACTGGTTCGTACAATTCATTCACTTTACAATCATATCCTATTTTGTCATCACTCACTTTCATCTCATTAGTTTCACATCTCATTATGGCTTGCACATTGTCTTGAAAGAAGTTCAGCTGAGAGGACTGAGACATCAATTGTTTTGCAGGCATTTTTTCCTTTATTTATCACCTTATCAGAGCTCAAGATTATTTATATATCAATAAAAAATGACTAGAGATAGTGGCATCTCCTATCCTAGCATTACCATGCCTGCTCTTGTGAGATTAATCTACTTACTTGGGAAATCGTTACTCCTGGGACTCTCTGCAGTGCAAAGTTAAATAGGGCCTTTAAATGAGGCACCTGTGTCAAAATCGGGGTGTTAGGCTGGACTATCAAATATATTTATATATGAAATCAAGAGGGCTTCACTCACTTGAACATGCATACATGTGCTGCTGGGGCCATTTCATACAAAATATAAGATCCAGTGCACTCACTCATCTATATAGTTTAAGTTGCATAGAGCTTTAGGCTTTAGATGACAAGGTGCATTGTACCACTGTGCTAACACATTAATTTTATTTATTCTGTGACTGTGCTCTTTCTATTGATATACAATAGTATGATAAATTGTTGTTTACCACTGATAAATCACAGAACTTTGACTCACAGTTGAGGTGACCATAGATCAAAAGTGTGAAATACTTTTATTTACGATCTTAGAATTCTTAATATTCACAGGAATGCAATCCTGTCAATTTCCCTCTGGCAAAAATGTGCTGGTAAAGAAATCAGTTGGGATTTTAAAAAAGGTTACATACTTAATAAACAAATTGTGTGACATACATAAAATGCACTAGTAAAACTAAAAGATGGGATTAACTGTAAATTTTTAATAATGTTTTCTTACTATTTTTAGTATTAAAGTTTGTTTGAAAATTCATATAGTAGGCACTCTTTCCAGTTTTCACTTATTTAATTGGAATACTTAATTATTGGTTAGTATTTGTGAATCTTGAGGCATGGGATGAGCCACCAATGTGAGTTTAGATTGGATATTAAGGGCAAATGTGTAATAATTTTATTAGATACTCCTCAGGGTTCCTTGAGACTTTTGTTTCATACTGATATCAGCAATACAATTTTAATGAAAATAACCAGCATCACTATCTTTCCCAGTTTCTGGATTGGTGGAAAGAAACTGTGTACAATATGGGAAAAATAAATATATATATATTTGTGGTCAAGGACAATTAGCGAGAATTAGTAGTGTTGGTGTAAGTCGGTTGTTGTGTGCTGAAACCGATGTTTATGTAGGTCTGTAAAAAGAGGCCCACCAAAACTTAATGGCTAGATAAAGGGAGCAGTATGGCTGAACCATGCAGTGTCAGCCCAGAGGAAGGGGAGGCCTGTGTAACCCCTCCCCAATGTCAGGCTCTGCCCACAGACTCAGCCTTTCTATTTGTGGTCAAGGACAATAAGCCAAGTTATAGTAGTCTTGGTGTAAGTCAGTTGTAGTATGCCGAAACTGATGTTTGGGTAGGCTTATAAAAAGAGGGCAAAAAGTTTAACAGTTTAACACTTTAATAGTTCTTTGGAATTTTCCAACGTTGTGTAAAATGACACAGAGCACTCTGATTGGTGGAGTGTTATGAGTCAAATTACACAGGGTGGGAAAATTCCAAAGAACTTTCCCACGCTGTGTAAAATGCAACAGAGCACTCTGATTGGCTGGATTTCAAGCTAAACAAACAGAGTGCTCTGTGTCATTTTACACAGTGTGGGGAAGTTGACTCATAACACTCTGATTGGTTACTTAATCCACCAATCAGAGTGCTCTGTGTCATTTTACACAGCGTGGGAAAATTCCAAAGAACTTTCTCACGCTGTGTAAAATGACACAGAGCACTCTGATTGGTGGATTTCAAGCCAACCAATCAGAGTGCTGTGACCTGTCAGTCTCTTCATTTACCTGTCAGAGCACTCTGATTGGATGGCTTAAACCCACCAATCAGAGTGCTCTGAGCCTAATTGAAGGGCAAGGCAAGGCTTTATTAGCCTTCCCCCTCCCTGCAGAGCTAAGGCTGCGCGGAGCCCTACATGGGTAAAAATTGTTGTTGACATTAGGTCCATCACAATTTTTATTTATGGCCCCCACCCACCGCTCGGGAATGGGGGCTGGGGATGAGGACAGTAGGTCCCCCCCTTATTGTTATTTAGGATCCCCAACTGCCGCGCAGGTTCCCCTCTTATAGTTATTTAGGGCCCCCACCCGCTGCTCAGGGGTGGGGGCTGGGGGGGGCAATAGGTCCCCCCTTTAGTTTAAAAGCCCCCACTCGGGCTGCTCACTGTTTAATAGACATGCCCCTACTAGCTGGGTCACATGCTGCACTGGCCAGTCACAGCCATGCCATTAGTAGGCATGGCTGTGATGACTTCTAAGGGCACACGAGTCAAACGCTTGTTGATTGGCTGCCCTGCAGCCTTTCAAAATGCGTCATTAAATCACAGAACACCGAACTCCAACCCGAACATACAGTGATATGTCCGTGTTCAGGTCCTGGTTCCAAAAACTTTTCAGTTCGGGTTCGCTCAACTCTAAAAACCACCTCTTCAGGCACAGAATTCCACATCCTTATAGTTCTTACTGTAAAAAAACCTTTTCTTTGCCTTAGACTAAATCTCTTTTCTTCCAGTCTGCAGCCTAAATGCCTGCTCTAATTCCCTCTCAAGTTGAGGGATGCATCTGGTGTATGCAGATGATCTAACCCATCCCAGCCATCGAAGGCGTGTACTGGGATATTCTACTAGAGAGTACAGAAGCAGTGCCTATTTTAAAAAGAATGAATATGTTAAAGGTTGTATCCAAATAGTTTTATGGTTTTGTTAGCTAATTTAAGGTTGAGGTGGGAAAAGGATGTGAACACCACCATGGTATCGATTGAATATGGATAAACAACTAGAAATTCTGAAGTGAATTTATCGAAAATTATATCAGTGCAAGTATATGAACGGTTGGTATTGGAAGAGAGAGCTGCATGTCCAAGCAATCTGCCATCCCATGAAATGAGCTAATACAGTTTGAGGTCCTAAAATGTTGGGGTTTTGGTTGGTCATTTGGCAGCCATGTGAGGTGCTTGGAAGAATACCCAAAATTGTGATTGAGAGAAGGTTTTGGCGACTATGTTTGACAACCTGGTATGTGTGTATGGTAAAGGTAAGATTGCTGTGGGGTATACTTTGAAGAGCGCTAAAGTTTACCCAAATGAGGGTAGGTTTCGCGTTTCTGTGGGCCATGTGTCACAGAACCAGTTATTGTTGAAAATGGCTGCAAATCCAGTGTGGTCAGCAGCATCAGTACTGATAATGGGGGATTAGTCGGATAGTGGGGGAATGAACATGGCTTCCCCATTCCAGTGGGATATGAAGGTTAACCCTATGAATAAGTCTGCTCATGCATGACCATTTATTGTGCAATTGTTAGTAGGTAACTAGAGTGAAGGCTGAGTCATAAGGAAATATAGTAGAAACCTTGAGGTAAACGCATATGGCAAAGTTCAGAGAACCAGGGTGAGACTGGAGATCCACATGGACATAGGAATCTTTGCCCAGAAAGGATTCTACATTTCCCTGAAATGCTGGACCTTGATCATGGGTGGAGGGGGGCCGTTGGACTGCAAGATCGAGTCCAGTTGTAAAGCCATAAAAATGAAACTGGAGAAGTGTTGTGCCTAATCATTAAATTCATGAAGCGCCAATATCAAAAAGCAATAATCAATTACCCTAAGGTTTTTAAAGATATTGATGGGCACCAAAACCCTATTCGGGATGAGTGAATTGAGTAATTGAGCAAGGGAAAAACACTGACATCAAGTACTTGTAAATAATCAATACAAACTTTATTGACTAACAAAGACTTAATTAATGATCATTCAGCTTAAAATTCAGCTTAAAGGAACCGGTTAATAAAAAAAGCTTAATACAAAAACAGCTTAATAATATATCACCATAAGAGAGAGACTTGCTGCACTCGACTGAGAACTTCTGGCAGTCAGGCTGGAAGGACACCCTCTCTTACTGGGAAATCAGCTTAACCAGCAATATGCATCTGTATTACAGGTGGGTAGTACTCCAATGAGTGCCAAATTTTCTCGTCTTTTATAAGTTATTAGTCTGTACTTTTCCACCAAATCTTCTTATCAGTGCAGCCCAGCAAAGACCTTGCAAAAAGTGTTGGATGGGACTTGCAGTGGGCCTGTTCAGTCCCACAACAATGCCATGCCAGATCTGTGCGGTTAATTATCTCTGTTATCATAACTATCTTAAAAGCTAGCTCCTTTCTCATAACTATCTTGTGAAGCTATGCATGACTGTTTTGTGGTTATTAACATTTTCAGTACTGTGTACCGGCGCCATCTTGACTATCTATAATAGTTTGATTTGCTCAAAAGTTATCAATCAATCATTCTTAATTAATATGGAATATTATTATCAGAAGAAAAGACCTACGGTTTAACCTTAAAACAGCAGAAGGCTCTGGGATGAAAACAGGTCTTATGCATACTTTGTATTCTGTATTCTGTTCCTCTACTGATAGTAAATAGACAATGTATCTAGTACCAGTTACGTACAAGACAGCTATCAGTATTAAAAGTGTTGCAAATTGCACCTTCCCTAAAAAACACAATAAGCCTGCCCTATATATCTTTAAGCCCCTGTGTTATAACAGGAGATAGCGCGAATCTTAGTGGGCAATAGAAGATAAAAAGGTGGAGTTGGTGGGGAGTGGCTGCCGCTGAGCTGAATGGCTATGCACTGATCCAGCTCTCTGAGACCCAGGATTCAATCTGACCTAATCTGAGTTTTTGGAGCAGCATAGGGAACCCAAAAAAGCATAATCTGATTCAGGGGGCAGGAGGGAAAACCACCGCTACAAAATCAGGCTCGCTGACCAGTTTTTACACGATTGTGAGGATCGCGAGACGGAATCCGTGGATGGCAAGATGGCGGAATGGGAAAAACATACCGCATCTCCTCCGACCAGCCCAGCTCCCTCTGAGTGCTTTAGCGTATCCTAAGACACATCACAGGAGGCAGACATTAAAACTCTGCTGAAAAACTTACCTTCCAGGGCTGACTTGGCCGCAATGCTCGGTAAGCTGGAGGCAGCGTTTCAAACCAAAATGGAGGCGATGAGCACTGATATCACTCAAGTAAGTTTCCAAGTGGATGATCTGGAGGAAGAACGTGACATTTTACAGGTCCAAATAACTAATTTTTCTACTACTATGGAAAGCCACACACTTCCTATACACCGTCACAGGGTAGGCTTAGATAACCGCAGCCGCAGAAACAACCTAAGAATCAAGAGTTTGCCTGAGGACCAAGGGGAAAATGTTGCTTCCACCCTGGCTGAGCTTTTCAACTACATTCTTGGAGAAGCCAGCGACAATCAAATCCTATTAGACAGGGCCCACAGGTTGTTACGCCCGAGAGGATCAGCTGTGGAGGCCCCCAGAGATGTGATATGTCATGTACATTACTTTGCTATTAGGATAATATCCTGAGAGCTCTGAGGGACACAGCTCAACCACTACTATTTCACGGGACCCCAATACAAATTTACCCAGACCTATCATGATTCACCTTGCAGACGAGAAGGGCATTGAAACGAATCACAGAACACTTAAGGAACCGCAACATAAGGTATCGCTGGGGTTTCCCATTCGCTTTAATGGTGAACCACAAGGGCACGAGCTACTCTATAACTACCCCTCTGGATGTGGGACCCTTTCTGCAAGTGCTAGAGCTTCCCGATACACACGTTGTAGATTGATGCGGGCCAAAAACCAATCAAAATCAAGATCAGGCCAGTCTTCCACAACGTTAACTCTTGAACACCCCGGCAAAGAAAAGAAGACCGTACCAAAGATTATTCTCACCTCAATGAAAGAATCCTCCAAATCAAGGAGGGAACCACAATTAACCCCCTTCCCCAAATTCACAGACAACATGAAGGGATAAAATATGCTGTACAGCACAGCCACCCACCATTAGGTCCACCTCCCTGGAATACAAATACAAATCCTTCAAATATAAAGAACCATACACCACGTGAAACTCTCAACGAAGACGCCATGGTGATCCAAGACATCTCCAACGAAGTCCACTTGCAGCGAGCTCCCGTTGTCTCTTTCACCTCAGGAACTTTCCACTCAGCTTAAAGAAAGGCCTAGATGTATATACACAGTATATATAAGGTGCTAAAGAAAAAGAAAGAACATACAAGAATTCCAAAAAGAAAAATGTCTAACAACATTCCCTTTAAGGATCTTATATGATGACAGCAACCCTAAGTAGTCTTCTCTAAAGATAAATAAAATGTAACTAGTAAACTAAAAACTGAGAGGTACAGAAAAAGGAGAAAGTAATAGCTTACCCGTGCTGCCTATATCTATTGGCAAATCCAGTGACACTGGTGTAGGGGGTATTAAATAGAAACACTAAATTAAGTAGTAACAAAATCCCACTAAAGAATCCCCCCAGCTCCCATCACCCTTTCCCACAGTGGCGGCACAATCTCCTTCCCCTCAGCAGTGAAACAGGAGCCGATCGATCAAAACGGCTGCCTAGCAGAACATGATAAAATCATAAAGCTTGGTGGCTAACACGGAGGAAAAATAAGTATAATGGCTGCAGCATAGTCCCCTATCAACCTCCTCTACCCTTAAGCTATTAAAAGTCGCGACGCCCGTTTCGCCGACTATCTTCTCTTGGAAGAGCCTTCCCTCGAGGACTCAGAGAAAGTACTACATAGTTACGTAGACTTAGCTGGGGTGACTAACCTCCAGATCCCCGCCCTGCACTTGGCACGCCTCTCGACACTATGACCTCACTTCGTATACACATGCACAACACCAGAGGTCTAAATGCACCAGAAAAATGATCCATGGCACTAGCAGACGTTCAAATGCAAAAAGCAGAGAGAGTATTCATTCAAGAGACACACTTTCATAAGGATTCTGCCCTGACATTACGTAATAGATACCCAATGGGCTATTTTAACAATTACAAGGAGAGTAAATCCAGAGGAATAGCGATACTTGTGAGTAGCCAACTATCCTTCAAATACCAAAATCAGCAAGCTGATGAGTCGGGAAGGTTCATTTTTTTTTTAAATAGATGTAGGACACACTCGGGTGACCTTAGCTAATATATACTTACCGAATAAAAAACAAACTCAGGCCCTAAGAAAAATCCTCCTCAAATTAACTGCATTTCAGGAGGGAATAAAAAACAAACTCAGGCCCTAAGAAAAATCCTCCTCAAATTAACTGCATTTCAGGAGGGAATAGTGAGAGGGGACCTAAACATCTCTCTAGAAGGGGAACTAGACACCTCATCTAACTCGACTGACTACCTAACACAATCTAGAAGGGACATGAAGAACATCCTACAAGATGCCCAACTTTAGGATGGATGGAGAGCACTCCATCCAGCACAAAAATATTTCTCATTCTTCTCACCCCCTTCTGGTACCTACTCACATTTAGACATGCTCTTTCTCCAACACAGACATCCCCCCTACTCAAAGCAGCCAAATATGGGTCGATTACATGGTCAGATGTACAAACGGACATCATTACGTCCCATCGATGTCTCTCGCGCATGCGCGTTCCGCTTTGGAACGCACACAAACAGCACAGAAGGTTTAAAGTTCAATATCCATTCTGTTTCTTTCATTGCTAATGATCTTTGTTTGTCACCTCCCCTACAATGGGGTGACTACATCAATACCGATACAAGTAAAATTATCAATGTAACGGCACCCCCAGGCATAAAAGGGGTTAAACTGCCGTTTAGTAGATTTTCCCTTCCAGAGACACAGGCACAGCTACTGTAGACAACAATACACCAAACCGGAGAAGCATACGAATGCTCTCAAACATCCGAATGCTGTAAACAGCCGAATAGGAAAAACCATACGAATAGGTTTACACTCCTAGCAGTCAAACTGGAACAGCATACAATAAATGCCCCCCCCCCCCCAAGAACGAGACAAGGCTCCGTTTTGTGGGGTCAAGCAGGAACAGACAGAGCTGTGGGTTTTGTTGTTCTTATATACACATTAGTACCACCCACAGGGTTTTGGAAAACAACCAATAAGCACGTGCAATACACTCAGACACTCCCACACAAAATCCTCCCCTCTGCCTGTGATACAATTACCTTACACAATGGGTAATATAATTATCACAGACAGAGAAATACAGTTTTTCCACATTATTCATAACTTGAAAAGTATGCATCGCATTCACATAAATAAAATTTTCAGAATCAGCATACTCCAAATACAAACATATGTCAAAATCATCCAAATTGGTCCATTGGTTCAAAAGATAGATCAAAGTCCTTTGTGACCAAATGAAGCATGGCTTTTCTGCCCAAAACCCGTTCCACAGAGTCTTCTATCCTGGAGATAATTGGGAAGTAATCCAATTATCTCCAAGGACAGAGGCAAAACTCCATTGAACACATGGCAGCAAAAGACAATAAAACACATAAAAATATATAACTGTGCAGCCATTGCACAAAACAGGTACATTCAACATATCCCCATTATTACTGAATGGCGCTCAGAGCACACACATAGTCTTTCAGTATACAAATGGGCTCCATGGCATAGCTATCTCGGGTATCACCGCTCAAACAGGGCCAGCACCGAATGACCCAGCTTTCGTGTCTTTGCAGGGGAAAATCAAGCGTTTCAACATGGGGCCATAGTCTAAAGGTAGCAGGCGGGAAACCAGGCTCCTCCAAAGCACAGTGACGAGATTGGTCTCGTCATAATCAAATTTAAAAATGAAGTTTACAGATGGTGCACCCCACATAGTGTGTACAACATTTACATTGTAGCAAATACACTGCATTCTTGCTTTTGATAGTTTGTAAAGTGCTTACTTTTAAAAACTTCTCCAGTAGTTGTGCTCTTAAAATCTAATGTTTTGTAAGCTTGAAATTTGCAAGTGCTGCATCTGCCACGTTTGTAAAAACCCTTAGGTTTTCCTTTTCGTGGAATCTTTCCTAATTTGAATCTCCAGCAAAATACTTGGGGCCAAAGTTTACTTTAAGTTCTCAGTTCGTTTGTAAATTACACGTGTTTTTTTTGAACGCTTGAAGAATGAAATACACTCTCCTGAAAAAGTAACTAATAGGACGAAATGCATTGAGCAATATTATACCCCTGAAAGTACTCCAGCCCAGAGGTAATTCAAGAACTGATTCCTGACTCGTGATCATCAAAAGTCAGTGGAGGAAGCAGTTCTGATACTCAGAGGTGCAGTGGCGTACACACAATCTATGGGGCACCGGTGCAAAACTGATCCATGGGGCCCCCCATGTCCCCCATACACACATACATACAAACATACACCTACATAGACACAGACAGACAGACATACAGACACACAGACACATGGATAGACACACACATACATACAGACACATAGACAGACACAGATACACATACACACACATACATACATACAGACACACAGAGACACACACACACATAGACACACATACATAGTCACACACAGACACATACATACATAGACACACATACACACACAGACATACATATAGAGACACATACACAGAGATACACACACACATATACATACAGACACACATACATAGACACATACATACAGAGACACACATACATACACACATACAGACAGACACATACACACACAGATAAATACAGACACATACACAGACACACACACACACACAAGCACACATAGACACACATACATAGTCACACACAGACACATACATACATAGACACACATACACACACAGACATACATACAGAGACACATACACAGAGATACACACACACACACATATACATACAGACACACATACATAGACACATACATACAGAGACACACATACATACACACATACAGACAGACACATACACACACAGATAAATACAGACACATACATAGACACACACACACAAGCACACACACACACACACAAACACACACACACACACATTAATACAGACACACATATACATATACAGACACATAGAGACTCACACATACAGCTGGTATCTGGTAACACAAGTTATAGCTAATCCATGATTACATACATAGACACACACAGACACATACATACAGACACAGAGACACACACACAGATACATACAGACAGATACATAGACACACACACATACATACACACAGGCAGACACACACATACATACAGACACATACACACACATACATAGACACAGAGAGACACACACACACTAACACACACATGCAAAATACTTTAGTCACCATCCTATTACCTACCTTTTAGGTGCAGGAGGGTGACTTCCCTGAGGTCCAGTGGCTCAGGTTGATGGGAGTCAGAGTTCCCTAGTGGTTGCTGGGAGGAGTGACCGCAGCAGTCACTTCCTCCCAGAGTCTGACATCATCAGAGTGGGCCTGGTCGCGCTTTTACCAGGCCCACTCTGATGATGATATTAATTTCCATCAGGTGGCCC